CTCACAGGGGCCATCTCAGCCTCACAGGGGCCATCTCAGCCTCACGGGGGCCGTCCCCGCCTCACGGGGGCCGTCCCAGCCTCACGGGGGCCGTTTCAGCCTCACGGGGGACGCCTCAACCTCACGGGGGCTGTTTCAACCTCACCGGGGTCGTTTCAACCCCACCGGGGCCGTCTCAACTTCACTGGGTCCGATTCAACCTCACCGGGGCCGATTCAACCTCACCGGGGCCGTCCCAGCCTCACTAGGGCCATCTCAACCTCACCGGGGCCGTCCCAGCCTCACCGGGGCCGTCTCAATCTCACAGGGGCCTTTTCAACCTCACTGGGGCTGTTGCAACCCCACCGGGGCCGTTGCAACCCCACCGGGGCCGTTGCAACCCCACCGGGACCGTCTCAACCTTACCGGGGCCGTCTCAGCCTCACAGGGGCCGTCTCAACCTCACCTTGGCCGTTTCAACCTCACTGGGGCCGTTTCAACCACACCGGGACCGTTTCGACCTCACCGGGGCCGTCTTGACCTCACCAGTGCTATCTCAACCACACCGGGGCCGATTCAACCTCACCGGGGCCATCTCAGCCTCACAGGGGCCGTCCCAGCCTCACCGAACCCATGGGAATTTTAAAAAAATGTTTTTATTGATTTGAGAGAGAGAAAGAGAGAGACATTGATGTGAGAGAGAAACATCAACCAGTTGCCTCTTCTACTGGGGATCAAACCAAAGCCTAGGTATGTGCCCTGACCAGGAATCAAACTCACAACCTTTTGGTGTTCGGGACGACACTTCAAATCAACGGATCCACCGAGCCGGGCCACCATGGGAATTTTTTTTAACTTTTAAAATTTTCATCCAATTAATACATGCCCAAGGCAAAGAAGCAAAGAAGGGCTTATAACAGCCCGTGTCCCTCGCCTCACCCCTCCCCATGTCCAGTCCTGCTCTCTGGAGGACGCCGCTTGGCTTTCAGTTTCTATTTCTTATGTTGGCACCCTCCTCAGCGCCGAACAACAACCTAATATGGCTGTTTGTTTGCTTTTCCGAGAAGACAATTTGAGACATTCTCTTTTGACTCTTTCCTGTGAAAGATGAGGATTTAGCAGACCTAGACCCAGTGCAGGAATCTCTCTGACTACAGCCCAGAGAGTGGCCACCCCGCCTCTGCTTGAATGCTTCCAGAGATGGCGAGCTTACCACCCCTCGTCGTGCGGTCCCCAGTGTTTGTGTAGAAGGACTTCCAGGCTTGTTTCAGTGTCAGATCTCTTTAGCCTGTGCAGTGTCGTGAACCAAACCAGTCGTTCTTAAACACTAAGCAATTTAAAAAGAGTAAAAGACTCATTAATCGAGTGTGTCTGGATAAAATGGGGAATTCAGACGTGACATCCATTGCCCAGGCCTGTCCCCACCCCTACCCCTTTCTCCTCCCCTGGCCCCAGGCCCCAGGGAGAGGACTTTATGTGGAGGCTGTGACATGATGGTGTTTCCTCTAACCTGGCTTTGCAGTTTGGGTGTCCTTGTCCTTGTCCTGGGGGAGCCAGAGGAGCGGGCTTGGGGCTTGGGCTGAGGGTGTCTTCCTTACTGGCCACACATGATGTCAAGGGCAGGCTCAGATCTTTGTTGGCACTTCCCGTCTCCTGGTCGTCAAGAGCGGAGGCAGCTTTCCCCTGGACCCCTTTCTTCAGCTTATTTTCCCCTCGACCTGGATAAGAAGGGAGGCCTAACTGCTCTATCTTACATAGGAAAAGCATTTAAATGAACGACAACGCCCTTCGGGCCGGACCGTATTGACCTGGTCCTAGTTGTCTTTGATTTGTATACTCTTTGAACCACAGCACACTCGCTCCGTGAACACCGAACATGAATGTGGCCCGGGGAGCCTTTGTGAGGCAAGAACGTTAATTACAACATTGTGCAGAGGAAATGTCCCGGATATAGGCGGACACCCGCGGACACCCGCTTACCTTTTATTCCAGCCACTGAACGTAGATCTCCACAAACAGCTCTAAGAAATCCTGTTTTTGTCAGTCCTTTCTTTAAAAAATATTTTTGAATTGTGGTAAAAATATGCATAACTTAAACTTTACTATTTTAACCATTTTTAAGGATCTATAGTTCAGTGGCATTAAGGACTTTCACGTTGTTGTGCAACCATCGCCACCATCCACCTTCAGAACTTGTTTCTTCTTGCAGAACTGAAACTCTGCCCATAAACACTAACTCGCCATTCCCCCTCCCTCAGCCCCTAACAGCCATCACGTTACTTTCTGTCTCTGAGGTTGATATTGTAGGTACCTCATGCAGTATTTGCCTTTTGTTGTGTCTGGTTCGTTTCACTTAGCAGAGTGCCCTCAAGATTCATCCATGTTGTAAAATGTCAGAATTTCCTCCCCTTTTAAGGCTGGATGATATCTCATTGTGTGCATGTCCCATTCCTCTCTGGATGGACATCTGGGTTGCTTCTACCTTTTGACTATTGTGCACAAGGCTGCTATGAACATGGGAGTCAGGATATCTGTTCAGGTCCCTCCTTTTAATTCTTTTGGGTATAAACCTAGAAGTGGGATTCACTTGGTAATTCCTTTTTACTTGCATTTTAAATTGGTTTTTAGAGCGAGAGCCAAGGAGAGGAAGAGGGAGAGGGAGAGATAAACTTCGATGTGAGAGCTATGTGAGAGAGAAACATCAATTGGCTGCCTCCTGCACACCCCCTACTGGGGATCGAGCCCCGACCGGGAATTGAACTGGCAACCTTTTGGTGCATGGGACGCCACCCAACCAACGGAGCCACACCGGCCAGGGCATGATAATTCATTTTTAAGTTTTTGAGGAACTGCCATACTGTTTTCCAAGTGTCTGCACCATTTTACATTCCTATCAGCAATGCACAGGGTTCCAGTTCCTTCACATCCTGGCTGGCACTTCTTACTTTCTGTGTTTTTTGGACAGTAGCCATCCTAATGTGTGTGAAGTGGTATTGCAGTTTTGATTTGCATTTTCATAATGAATAGCGACGTTGAGCATCGTTTCATGCGCGTATCGGCCATTTGTTTATCTTTTTTTTGCAGAAATGTCTATTTAAGTAGGAAGTTCTTTCTTATGTGAACAGCTCTGGCCTCACAGGGCCTCACAGGGCCTCGCCCTCTGGGGTCACCCCTGACAAGTCTGCTAGCCTGCTCTCTGAATTCTCCGGAATTCCCAGAGGATCTGCGTCTGCTTGGGCTTCGGTTCCCAGGCTGTTGATGGCTGGTTGGTGGGCTCCTCACCTGTCTGTGCACCTCCCCCAGGAGCTGGTCTCATCTGTGACGTTCCTTTTTAAATTGTTGACGTCCTCCCCGCAGTGGGAGGTGATATAGCAGCGGCACAGTCTCTGACTTTCCAGCCTCGGGTCACTGTGCTCTGTGACTTGCTAGAGTGACCACGTGAGCTCAGTCAGAACACTTGGCTTCTTCTCCCATAAGCAGCTGAAGAGTTTGAACTCCCCATCCTGTACATGTGTGCTTTTGGGGGGATCCTCAAAGCCCCAGGGGGGAATATATCCGAGAGAGAAACCAGAGGCTCCCCTCACCCCTTTACCCCCCATCCTC